CTCTTATTCACAGCAAACAGACACAACATTATTCAAACAAAGGATGGATTGAAAGCAGCTTTTTAGGTTTATTTAACATTTATTAAAGAAAGGCTGGGGAAATCAATCTTGTCTTTTATCCTAAGACTCTATTTAGCAAAGTACTCGAGTGAGATTTGTTTTCTGCTTCGGTTGCGCTCGCAGTTGGTGGAAACAGACAGGATTACTGGACACAAAACCGTGGATGCGAGGTGGGGCTTAGTGAGTGACTATGGCTTTGAACACTAGCATAAGGACAGTCACATGCTATCTCCAGTCAGGGGTATGTTGGCACAGCCTCGTGGATGTGAATATGTGGACCATTTCAGCACAACACTGATAGATACACAAGCACACAGATAGGATGTATCAGGTGAACATTTTTACATTTAACTGGACTGCAACCACAGATATTTGTAAAAGTATTTACGCAAGATCAAACAAGGCGTTTGAGATACGTAGGAGATTTATGCAGTAAGATGGGAGGTGCTTTTTCCAGTGCTCAGCAGCCAACCGAAAGCAGATATTTTCACACACACACACACACACACACACATCACAGCACCGCTCAGGCTCTCAGCATCCGTGCCCTGACCATAGGGAGTTTGTGCTGAGCTGGTTGGGACGTCAGGATGAATCAATGTGAGGACAGCTGACTGGACATGCCTATTCATCTGCCAAAGAAAGGAGGGGAAAAAAGAGAGCTAGGAATTCTAAAAGGAATGAACGGAGCCCTGGAGCAACATGTTTGGCTGTGTCCATTACTCCGCTGATCCTTTAGAGAGGGATGAAAGCAGAAGAGGTAGAAATTGTGGTTGAGTACATGAGATGGTGGGGGATAAAAATATACATCGGCCTCTGTGACAATAGCATGAGCTCACGCTGTACTAACTCCACACTGCTGGCCCGTTTCTACCCATCTGTTGCCGTCAGCTCTCTGACTTTATCCTTATTGTGTTAACTCATTACATTTGCCTTAAACCCTTAATTACCACCCTCCAGTTTCTCCTGCACATCCTCCCCCCTCTTGGACAGCGTGCCACATAGCCCGCGCACTAATCTGATCGCGTCTTCCGACAACAACACCTGCTGTATCCAGAAAGACCCATCAGACTCGGCCATGTTTGCAGGCTAACAGTCAGATTCAGATAATTAACCAGACAACCTCAGCCAATGAGAACCATACTGCTCCCCTCTTTTTTAATTTTTTTGTTTAGGTTTTTGTATTCTTCTAGTTTCCCCTCACATTCATAAACTGATGTCTCGACCGAGAGTCGCCCATTGTCCTGCCTCTTTGCTCAGACGCGTATTGGAAGACAGTGACATGTAGGCCCGGGCCTCTTTGCTTTAACAATAACTACCTCGACCCCCTAATGAGCTCTGGAGGGCCAGACGTGAGGCGATGTGACAGTTCTGGTACGACCAACACAATAGCAGGTTTTCTCTTTTGACTGCCCGACTTGCTGTATACCACAGCAGTTCTACAAATGGTCAACATGTTTCAGATAAGGATTTTTCTCTTAATGCAGGAAATCAGATACTAAAGATGAAATGTTTCATGTGTAATTAATGTTAGAATTAGGAGCCGTGTTGGTACTTGAGCTCTGTTTTTGTTCTTGCAGAATCAAGACTCGGTATGTGCCGGTTTAGTTGTAAAATGAAGTTTGCTGATGATGTTTTATTGATTGTGAATTAGAGTGGATGGCCCCCAAGGGTTCATCCTGGCCAGCCAGAAATGAATACATCTCTTCATGCTTCACCTCACACACCCAATTTAAGCAGAGTAAAGCAAAAGACTGACAAACATGCGTGTTGAGAGACTGACCCGCGGTCTAATACGTACAGACAGGCATCGTTCATCCACTCTGGGACTGAAGGTTGTTCCAAACCCTCACTTCGTCGTTGGTTTCTCTCACTTACAACTGGGTACTTGCTTTTATAAAAATGGAATTTCCTTTCAAATCTGGTCTAAACAAGCCATCCATTATTGTAATCCTTCATGGTGGTTTGTGTTTTCTTTGGGTTTTGGCAGCTATTTCACCCATTTTGAGTGCAATACTTGTGTCATACAGTATGGGTTCATAATAGTAAGAAAAATGTACAAGTAGAAAAAATGAATACTATCTGACGAGTTCTAAAGATTTGTACCCTAACCCTAAAGAGTTCTGTCCTAACTAGGGTTGGGCATCGTTTGATTTTGAACGATTCCAATTCCTTGTTTCGATTCTGGTTCCTATCGATTCCCGATTCTGATTCTTTCAAGACACGACATGCTTTACATGAGCCAGCTAACCACAGGTCCTACTTGATGAAATAATCTTAACTTGAACATGAATTTTAATTCTATGAACAACAACATCACCTTCATTTAGACAAAAACATGTTTTGGAGAAAAAAGAAAAAGACTTGCAGCACAACCAGTGTGTTTGTTTCTGACCACAACCAAAGTCTGGAAGAAGCCTCTGGGATGAGAGGCTAAATGTCTCCAACATATCCAGAAACGTCCAGCTGTTTTCAGCTAAAACTCTCAGGATGATCATGTCCAGGATGACTGAGAACTACACCTCCATGCTGCAGCAGCATTCAGTCAGAACAGGAAGTGAAACTTAAACGTAGCTGCTGTCAGTAACAATCTAACAGATTTTAAACATCAAACATCAACAGAAATAGTTCAGAAAGGAAATTAAAATGTTCACAACTTTGTGTGTGATTTATTATTATTATTATTATTATTATTATTCATTGTGGCAGAAGCTGGTGTGGTCCACCACAGAGAAGTTTCTCTAGCACGATGACTTTTAATTATTCTACAGGTTATTGTTAGCCTTCTGACGCTCACACACACACACACACACACACACACACACACACACACACACACACACACACACACACACACACACACACGCACACACGCACGCACGCACACACACACACACACACACACACACACACACACACACACACACACACACACACACACACACACACACACACGAGTGTTGGTGAGCGGCTGTGTCTGACTGCTGACGCTCCGTGTGTGTTTGAGACAAACACCTCACACTGTCCAGAGTTTGTTCTTTAAGCCTTCTATTAAATCCACCTTGTTGACGTATTTTAACAAGTTTCCTCTACGCTGCAGGAGTTCAAGTTTACGTTACGGAGTAAACGTTCGGCAGATCTGGGTGGGGGGAGGGGGGACTCGGTGCTGCACACGGATAGCCGGTGTCATCAGTTCTGAAAAGCGTTGATCACAATTTGCAGATCACGTTTATTTTTCACGGAGATCGTACGTGGATTCCTCTTCCGGTCGGCATTCTAGGAATCGAAATAAAAAACTTTGAACAATTCCGGGAAAAATGAACAGTTGGAACCGGTTCCAATTGATGCTCGATGCCCAACCCTAAAGAGTTCTTTCCTACGATCTTTGTCATTTGTGAACAGAACACTGGCTCATCCCTTGAGTTTGTTGGTTTTATGCCAGAATGATTTATTATGTGCCTTGCTTATCAAACAAGAACAACCTGAATACAAAGTGTTGTTTTAAAATTAGTTCAGTTTTAGGAGAAAAAACTGCCATCCAAATGACAGCAGCTCTATGTGGAGTAGGTCCTTCCGTCAGGAATCTTGGCGTGACCTTTGACCCAGCTCTCACCCTGGATTCTCATGTCAGTTCTCTTGTTTGCTCTTCCTTCTTCCATCTCAGGAACATTGCAAAGCTGAGTCCCATTCTGTCCCGCTCTGAACTTGAGACAGTTCTCCACACCTTCATCTCCTCACTCTTAGACTACTGTAACTCTCTTTTCACGTGTCTGAGCAGAACCTCCCTGAACCGTCTACAGGTGGTTCAGAACGCCTGTGCTCAGCTTCTGACCAAGTCCTCCAAACACACCCACATCACCCCGCTTCTCCTCCAGCTTCACTGGCTGCCAGTCAACTTCAGGGTTCATTTCAAGATCCTGGTTCTGGTCTATAGGGCCTTACATGGACAAGCACCATCTTACATTGGTGATCTTCTCAGTCCCTACACCCCCAGCAGGTCCCTGAGGTCCAGTGATCAAAGCCTACTGGTTGTGCAGCACCAGGCTAAAGACCAAAGGTGACAGATCATCTGCTGCTGTGGCCCCCAGACTCTGGAACTCTCTCCCCCTGAGCCTGAGATCAGTGGACTCAGTGGTCTCCTTTAAAAAGCAGCTGAAGACTCACTTGTTCAAGCTGGCTTTTGTATGACCTTCTTCACCACTGATTTCCCTCTTTCCTATTCACTCTCTCTCTTTCTTAACATTTTTTAATCACAGTTGTCTATGTTTTGCTCATTTTAAATATATTTTAACCATTTTCTAAATTCTTTTTTTATATTTTTACATTTTTTGTTTCTGTGAAGCGCCTCGTGATTTTTATCTTGAGAGGCGCTATAGAAATGATGTTTTCTTCTTCTTCTTCTAGTAACTGTCCTCTAGACCTAATAATTACTGTCTTGGAGGCAAGAGTTGCAATCAGTAATTGAGTATTTCTCTTCACTCTTCTCTACAGAATAGTTTTGTTTCAGCCACACGGGAGTTAACCAACATATACATGTCAAATATTCTCCTTCAGGATTTTCATGGTTGCAACAATTACAGCAAGTGGTCCAGGTCCTGAAATAAAGAAGCATCCCCAGACCATCGCATTCACATTCACACTTTTTCATGGTACTATGTAGAGGTCGACCAATACTGTTTTTTCTACTGCTGACGCCGATATGTAGAGGTTACGGTCAGCCGATGGCTGAAATGTGCTGCCGATCTTTTGGGGGTCGATAGCTAGACGTTTTCCACCTTATTTTCATGCTAAAACGCCACTAATAACATCAGTTAATGCACAAAATCTCTTAAGGTGACTCAGGTTTGAACTCTGAATTTCACCAACAGTTGGTCGAATCTTAATTTTGTGCACTGCTCAGTGTTAAAATCCAAAAATCTAACTAAAGTCTCTCATTTCAGGTGAAAACTGAATGAAGCTTCCTGCTAAAGTACATTTCTCCTGGAGTTACGATGGACGATGAAGCTGTGACTTTGGTGTCTGCACTGAGAACTTTGTAACTTTTTTGGAATAAACTCCGCTAGAAGATCTATCACACAGAAGGTGCCCCTGACAAAGTAATGGAGACAGAAGAGAGAGGGGATGTTTCACCCAAACAGGGGGCTACTTCAAAAGCAGAGAGCGAGGCCGACGCAGCGTCGTGCCATACCTGTGGTGTGTGCGGTCGGAGCTTTCCTCTCCTCAGCTCCTTGTCTCAGCATATGAGAAGACACACCCGAGAAAAGCCTTACAAGTGTCCCTACTGCGAGCACAGGACAGCTCAGAAGGGCAGCCTGAAGGCTCACGTTCGTAGCCATAAACTGGGCCTCCTCAGCCAGAAACCCAGTGACAAGGAGGTGGAAGGAGATCAAGAGAAGAAAGCTAATCCTGACACACCTGCCCTCCCCGAGATTATCAACACACCTGGCAAAGTCCATAAAATCAACGGGAAGGTGAAGAAGAAAGCAGCAAAGAAAAAAGTTAAGAGTGAGGATGTTGTCGTGGCTGCCGACGCGGCTGAAGCTGGACCTTTCTCTTGCACCATCTGTGGCCAGGTTTTCCCTCAGGTATTACTCCTGAAATCCCACGTGAAGCAGCACCGTGGCTCCCAGGATCACGGGTGCCGCATTTGTGGAAAGCGCTTCCGTCAGGCGTGGTTCCTCCAAAGCCACATGCGCATTCATCGGGTCAAAGCGCAGCTCCGTGGCAGCAAAGGCAACGAGCCTCCCGCGACTATCAACGGGATTCCCCAGGAACCAGCGTCATTGACAAATGAAGAGTGCCTCTATGAGCTCTGTTCCAGCTGTGGGAACTTCTTCTATGACCGTCGGACCTTGCGTGTTCACGAGAAGCTACATAAACTGACCCAGAACCCACTACGTGAAGACAACAAGGCCTCTGAGCTCCAATGTGACAAGAAACGCTTTTTGAAAAGCTTGAACCTAATAAGTGCCGGATCTAAGAAAGCAGTTGAGGAAAATGTTCTGGGTGGACGAATCGCAGAGCTGGACCCAATTTGTAGCTACCAGGCATGGCAGTTAGCCACAAGGGGGCGACTGGTGGAGGCCACAGAGAAATGCCTGGGGTGGGAGGAGAGACTGGCTGATGCAGAGGTGGCTTATGACACGGAGAAAGGAGAGTACGTGCCCCTGAAGCCGGAGAAGAAGAGGAAACAAATCGACTCATCCAACTCCAACGTCAAGAAGAAAAAGGGCGATGCCGTCCCAGAACAGACGCCAAACACCCTGGCTCATGCTAAAGGTGGAGACAAAAAGAGTTGCCCGAAGGACCGTATTCTTTTGAACGGACTTGGTCACGCGTTTTATGAGGCGCTACACAAGAAGACGGTCAAAGACGTTCAACTCTCCCAGTCGAGCAAGAGCATCAGAAGCCAGGAGAAGGAAGGTAAGCTGAGAAAATATGAAACACTTTAGTTTAGGAAACACAAATGAACCATTAATTAGCTGCCAATTAATATGCATATTAGTGGACTACTAACTCTGAATTAGTCATTATTAAGCTATTATTAGGTGCTTATTACCAATGCTGTAATTCTAATATTAACTCATTCACTGCCAGCCGTTTCCTGATCACTAACGGCCTTCGCTGCCAGCGTTTCTCACCGTTTTTACTGTATTTTTAAGTCACAGAACGTTGCGCACTAGCATGATGTCGACGCCAAAACAAACAAAACAAAGAGGAGACTGACCTCTTACATCGGAAAAAGCCGCGCGTTTCGAGCGTTATCTGTTCTTTCATAATCCGTTGTCGAATTGTGATTGGTAGACGCTTTTCCGGTTCGCGCCTCACTTTTTTTTTACAGGAACGGCCCAAAACGATCTCCAAACACATGGATGTGTTGCTTCCATGGGGCAGCAGTAGCTCAGGTGGTAGAGCGGGTTGCCTCTTGATCAGAGGGTAATGGGTTTGATTCCAGCTCCCGCCAGGGGTATCCTGCTGTTGTGTCCTTGGGCAAGACACTTCACCCAACTTGCCTGTGTTAGTGGTGGTCAGAGGGGCCGACGGCGCCAAACGGCAGCCTCGCCTCTGTCAGACCTCCCCAGGGCGGCTGTGGCTACAAGTAGCTTACCATCACTAGCAGTGTGTGAATGTGAGAGTGTGTGAAAGCGTCTTTGGGGGTCTAGAAAAGCGCTATATAAGTTCAATGGATTTTTTTTTTCCTGATCATGTGATCTGTGACGTATGCGGATGAAGATCGGCTTCAGGGCTGAGATGTTTGTTCTCTCAGCACGGGGGCTCGTTCCGATGCTCAAACAGTAAAAAAATGCAAATGACGGCTTTAGTCGTCAATGGCAGTGAATGAGTTAAGAGGCCATAAATTAAGAGTTTTACTAAAATCAGCCATTCATAATGGATTGTTAACTGAAAGTACATGGTTTGTTGCTGATTAACATACTAATTAACTCAAATCAATATGTGGCTTTTAAGGAAGTAATTCAAGGAGAATAGTTGTTCTGCATTAATAACAAAAATATTATGTTCTGGTATGTAAATAAACACCAACCTCCACATGTTAATAGAGCCTGAACAACAATCCATTAACCACTGAAAGGCAAGAATATGTTCCCCTTTCTAAAGTCAGAGCTAATTAGCATGCGTGTTAATCAGCAACAAACCATTTATTTTCAGTTAGCAAACCATTATGAATGGCTTATTTTGATAAAACTTAATCTATGCCTGTTAATGTTAGAATTACGGCATTAGTAATAAGCTTTTAATGTGCGCTTAATAATGACTAGTTCAGACTTAGTAGTCCACTAATATGCATATCGATTGGCAGCTAATTAATGGTTAATTTGTGTTCCCTAAACTAAAGTGTTGCCTAAAGTTTGAATGCAGAGAAAAGTTCAGAAATGTAAGAAAGATGGCTGTTTTTATTCCAGAAGTTGTTTTTGTGAATAAACCTGGCGTGGTGTTGCTTTAACCCTTTGATGCATAATGGTCACTACAGTGGTCAGGTACTCAGAATTGTTATTTATTTATTTTTGCTATTAAGCACAGCTGTTGAAGACTATTGCATTTGAGCCCCTCCATTTGGACTTCAGTAAGTCAAGCCAACATATTTCATGTTCAGAATGCACGCTGTCCACTGAGATGGACATGTAATAAACTATGTGTAAATTAAATGTTACAAAAAATATGTAAATATGAAATTTGTTTCATTCACAACTAAAGATGAATGAAAAAATTGTTTAAAAATCATGGTTGAAGATTTCATAATTCATGCATCAAAGGGTTAAGGTTAAGTCAAACTTATAATTACTCAGTTTAACACATTTATGCTGTGATAAAGAGAGCCCTCTAGTGGACTTGTAGTGGAGTTACAGTTGCACTAACCCTCAGGTTAATTAATACTCCATATTTTTTCTAAGTACGCGTGGATTTAAATGTTTGTTATCTCAGACACGAGGGCCTCTTCGTTCTAGAATAAATAACCACGTTGGCTCTGTGCCGTCTTCTTTTACCTGCAGATAAGAAACCCCACGTCTGCAAGCACTGTGATTTCCACACTGTTGACTCCTCGCTGCTCCAGTCCCACCTGTGCAGTCAGCACCTGGGTTCCTGCAGCAAACACAGCACCGCTGTGGACAATATCAGCAAAAGTGGCTCCAGAGCCTCAAGATACATGGACTACCTCAGGAGCAGGAGTTTGTTGCTCAGTCAGCCATACTGGAATGCCTACACTCGTCCTCCCAGTCAGGAATTAGCAGAGGGAGACTCGAAGGCAGAAATGTCTAATGGTGGTGATGTAAAGAAGGAGGGACTCACGAATGCTGATGCTGGCGCTCTTCTCAATCTTTCTTCCCTTACCGATGGAAGTAGTAACGCTAATTATCCAGTCAAAACAGGCAGTCTGGTGCAGCATCGGTGCCTATACTGCTCCCACACTACGCACTACCCAGAGGTCCTGTGGATCCATCAGCGTGTTGCACACAGGGTGAACGGGAACAGCTCCGTAGCACCCAAATGGGCACCCTGTGTAAACACTACTAAAGGCTCAAAAGCTGGAGCTTCTCAGTGGAGACGCACAGGGCCACCCCCGTTCCTCGAAGGAAAGGATTGCCCAACTCTACCTGCTCCACGGACGCAACGCACACAACCTCCAGGTGTCACAACACACAGCAGCAGCAAGCACTCAGCACCCAGAGCCCAGCCAGGCGTCCAGAAGTCCAAACATCACTCAAGGGAATCCCGCTCATCAGAAGGGAGACTTTCTAGTGGAAGGGTTCAGCCCCAGAGAACCTCTGGTGAACATCAGCGAGTTGCGCTGGGGGGAAGTACAAGCTCCAGTCGCCAAAGTACATCTTTAAACAATTCTGTACACTCCAAGGGTGCTGACGGATCTCAGCCTTCGCACAGCCTCAAACTCAGAGCGGACAGGGCTGCTGTGGAGGGGATCTTCCCACACGAGGGTTTGGGGTTTATGTTGGCGAGACACCAAGGTGGGACTTCTTCTAACCCTGCAGGAGACAAACTCCACTCTCGTAGGCAGTCATGGGACTTTTCTGCAGGTCGGAAGGGTCCAGACCTCTGGGCAGCCATGAACATGTGGGGGCTACATGGGGGCAAAGCGGACTCAGATCCCCTCCTTTTTGCTCAGGGAAAGTGCGAGCCGACGGGACAAACGCCAAAGGACATGGATATTTTGAGTCTCTTGAAGAGCTACAGTCCCCAGGATCTGGCCTCTATTTATCAGCACTGGGGCTTTGTTGATCCCAGACTGGATCCTCAAGGTAACAAGAAAGCTTTAATGTTTTAGTTACAGCCAGAGACTAAACTCACGTGTAGTTATTACTTTCCTCTGTCTTCCTATGGATGACTAAGTAAAAACACTGCAACATTTAAAAGTATGTTTCTGCTTTTACAGCGATGTTGCAGTTAAATGGACATTTTGGAAATGAAGTCCATTCCTCTTCTGAAGCCTCCAAACAGGTGAGTTTTCTTTGCAGCACCTTTTGACACTTTGACATTTGTAAAATTGGAAGTTTCTGGTGAAGCAGAATGGAAGGAAGAGATCGCGAGCAGCATTGATGCTGCTTGAAAGCAACAGCAGAATTACAACTGTTGTAAACAACTCGTCTGTAGCTAGCGCTAACAACAAGCTAATGCTAACATGAGCCAACTAAAGCCTGATTTATGCTTCTCCGTCTGCGTCAGAGTGGAGACACGCAACACCATTATCTGTCCTTGCGTATGGCCCCGGCAGGCACGCAAGTACGTACGGAGTCGAGCCCACTTTTTTAAACATCCGACGAATTAAACGGATTACGCAAGCTTGTGATTGGTCAGGATGCCGCTGTTGTTTACAGCGCCGCCATTGCAAAGAGAGCCGAGGATAACTAGCGGCAGACACGGAGAAGCTTGACGAATACCTCGCGAAAAAACTCTAAAAATATGAACGTTTAATTCTCCCATGACTGGAGGAGTGAAAAGATGCACAGCAAGCGTTTTATTTGTGGACAGAAATGACAGGAAACGTGGGTTTAGAGGTGGGGAGCGCATGAAGAGGTGGGAGAATGAGAGACAAATATGTCAGTGTTAAAAGTCTCTTATATACACAAAAAACACAATATAAACACACTATCTTGGACCGATACATGACAGGATACCACAGAACAGCGCTACGCCCTCTGTGGTCCTGCTGGCCAATTGCTTTGCAACACTCTCCAGGAGACGGAGAAGTGTGAGAGCAAAACGCTTCCGTCAATCCGTGCGTGTCTGTCCCTTGTGGAGCTAACGGAGAAGCATAAACCAGGCTTTATACTGAAATAAACCAAAGTAAAACATCCACAATGATGGACAAAAAATATTATTACTTTCAAATCCAGTGGCAACAAAGCCAGGTCACAATCAGTCCATGATTTTGTAGCCTCGTTTAGCTCCCTCTAACTAGCATAGGCCGTGCTGATGTTCACTCTGGTTTTAGCTCTTTGTTTCTCCTCCAAAAATATTACTCTTACTTTTATTTCCAGGCTCCGCCATGATTCCAACAGAAAAAGTAAAATTCTTCTTCTACTTCTTGTGTGTCAGTGCGCCCCAGGACAGCTGTGGCTTCACTGTAGCTCATCACCATCAGTGTGTGGATGTGTGTGTGAATGGATGAATGATACAGTGTAGTCTAAAGTGCTTTGGAGTCCTCTGACTCTGAAAGGCGATATACAATATATAATTTATCATTGATGCTCAGTGAATTGAAAAAGCCAACTGCTAGGCTTTATGCTAGCAGTCTGAACAGTAAACAGCTGCAAAGCAGGTAAACCACGTGGTTCACCCAGTGAACGTACTCGTCACACAAAACTGTTTAATGTGGTTTCCGGTCAGCAGACGGCTGCGGGGTGCTGTACCGTCTGAAGTTCATAAAGTCTCCATCTCAAGAATCAGTAAAACCACTTTGAAAGCAATCGCTTTAAGTGTTAAAAACTCTTCAGCGTTGCTTTAAAATCACAGTTTCTAAACTCCCAGCGCCAAAAATGTAGCATCAATTCCTCCATGTTGGAATTCACGCTGCTCTCTGGTTTCCTACAGAGCACTGTGAACACTGCTATGACGTCATTTTTTTTACATCACACAGCAGCTCGCCGCTTCCCCTGAATAGAATAAGTGATGGTGTTCTTTGACAGAACAAAACCTTTAATGTTTTAATTGTCAATGGCTGTGGACGGCTTCTGCCGAAAGAGTCGCGATATGCTAACGTCTTAGCAAAGTCCGGAAAGAGATGATTTTGTATGGAGGCACAACGGCTGAGAGGACCGAGCCAGCATTTCCTGTCACCTTCTTCTCCCTCCGAAACTTCCCAGAATTCCTATAATGGAAACGCGGCTGTAGGGTCATGTTTTTGTAATATTCTTTTTTTTTTTTTTTACCAGCCATTAAAAACAAGAAAGGAGTTAGCATTAGTCTTGACTTCAGCTACCGTCCACATCAGCAGAATAGAGACGTGAGTCTATGCCGCTGATACACTACATACAGCGCAAAACAGAAATGAGAACACCCTCTTTAAAAAGTACTAATTTAATCAGCAGCTCAATGAACAAAAGAACAATATCCAGAATTTTCACAAGGCTGGGCTTTATCTAACACTCGTTTAACTCCATAACATGAAACTGAGTTAATAATATAAGTTGGATCACAAAATCTTCAGTTTTACTAAACTTGGTTGAAGCAAAAATTAATCCGCTCCGCAACTAAAACTACTACATCTAGTATTTTGTATGACCACCGTGATTTTCAAGGACAGTATCAAGTCTTCTAGGCATGGAATGTATGTCAGACGGTGACAACATCTATCTTTTTCCATTCTTCAAGAAGAACATCTTTTAGAGCATGGATGCAGGATGGAGAGTGATGCTCAACTTGCTGCTTCAGAACTCCCCACAGGTGTTGGATTGGGTTCAGATCAGGAGACACGCTTGGCCATTCAATCACCTTCACCATGTTCTTCAGAAAAGCAACAGGAGCTTTAGATGTGTGTTTTGGATCGTTGTCGTGTTGGAAAAGTGCTCGACGACCAAGTGCACGGAGTGATGGCAGCATCTTCTTCTTCAGCATAGAGCAGTACATTGTTGAGTTCATGATACCATCAATGTAATCCAGCTCTTCAACAGCTGCACTCATGCAGCCCACATACGGACACCGCCACCACCGTGTTTCACTGTAGGCACCATGCATTTCTCTTTAAAATCCCCACCTTTACGACGCCATACAGTTTAGAAACCATTCGTTCCAAAAACAGTGATTGTTTTCTCATCACTCCAGAGTCTAGAGTCCCAGTAGTCTTCATCTCCTTCAGCATGGGCCCTGGCTAATCCTAGGTGTGCTTCAGGAGAGGCTGCCTTCGTGGACGATAACCTTGCATGCCATTCCTCTGCAGTGTGCGCCCTATGATGTCACGGGAAACGGTCACTCCAGTTTGGCTTTCTACTGCTTTAGCTACTCTGCAGTGAACTTTCATGGTGATTTTCTTCAACCTTCTCATCAGAAGATGCTCCTGTCGAGATGCTAACTTCAGTGGTTGGCCTGGACATCTCTGTCAGATGGTTGCACTTCCATCTTAGTTACATTTTTGGACCACCTTTGCTACAGTATTGTGACTGATATGTAAATCTTTGCTGATCTTCTTGCCCTCACATTTTTTCTGTAAAGAAATGATTTCTTTTCTCAGATTTTGTGACATTCCTCTTCCACGCGGCACCGTTGCTGACAGCATGTAATGGGAAGAGATGTTCTTTGTTCAGTAATATCCTTTTATAGTCACCTGTCTGCTGGACACCTCTCACATGAATCATCGGACTCACCTGTGGTTGAACGCCTGTTAGTTTGAATTTTGTAGTCTTAAGTGTGACTTTTCAGTAAGACTATAATTGGGGTGTACTCATTTCTGCAGCATGGGTTTGAATGGATCTGAAATGAACAGATCTTGTTTGCAATCAATGGCCCACATTTGTGGGCATATTGTATAGTTTGGTGTATCATAGAAACTAAGGATTTTCTGACAAATGCAATGGGGTTTACTCATTTATGCCGAGCACTGTAGATCCTAGTTTGATCAAATAAAACTCTAAATTCCATCCCCACTAAAAGCTGAATTCTGCCTCCTGCTGACATGAGCTGATGTCTGCAGTTTCTTTAAAACGTGAACTCATTTTTGTTCTTCACATAGTCCGATAACCTCAGAAATAAAACTTTTTTGCTTTTGAGACAATATTCAACAGTGAATGTATTACTGAAGGTGATCACTGAAAAGAACAGTAGAAAAACAACGCTCATAAAAGGGACATAGTGATTTTAAGTAATCTAATACATGAGTATTACCTTGACGCTCTTATTTTGAAGAGCCTAATTGCTGCTTGTTTCCCAACACATTGAGTATTTGCTTTAAATAATTGAGATTTTAACCTAAACTCTGAGATTCAGCACTCACATCAAAATTAATTCAGAAAACTGAATCTTTTTTTGTTATCATTGCATCATGTCATGCTTTAGGGATTAGATACTGAATCAGCTGGCTACAAACCAAAAAGAAAATCCTAAATGTCCCTTGTGTCTTCAGTAGTGTGTGTGTGTGTGTGTGTGTGTGTGTGCGCGCTCTCCTGTCTGTACCCCGTCTGGGTCCGAGCGCAGCCTGTCACTTGCGTACACACGAGCTGTCAGCGCTCACAACCCGGCTGCTTCTTCCTTCACTTTGTGTAAGAGACGGCGGCAGGGAGGAGGTAAACGAGTAATAAGAAGGCATCGTTGTCCCCCCTCAGGGTAAAACTTGCGCGGCATCTCCATATGTTGTGTCAGTTAGGCCTGTCAGCTAGTCAGGCTAGCCCACCTTCATCCTACTTTGCCCGCCTCAAAGGAACCTGTGAATGACTTAAACATCAGTGCTGGTGTGTGTGTGTGTGTGTGCGTGTGTGTGTGTGTGTGTGTGTGTGTGTGTGTGTGTGTGTGTGTGTGTGTGTGTGTGTGTGTTGTCTGTAAGCATGAAGATTTACAGAGTAAATAAAATTAAAACAATATCTCTACAGGAAGTGCTCAAGAATGAACAAACCCTAACAGTGCAGGTTAAAATGACCTCACAAAGATGGCTTCCATATTTTTCCTGTTTCTTGTCCCTTTGCAGGCGAACAGCCACTCGGCTTCATCTTCAGGGTCTATCCATAAAGGAACGTGAAGAAATCCAAACTGCTGAACTGTGTGAAGGAACCAGCCATGACTTTTACAAATGTGCTGGAAAATGCACGCTATATGCAAAATGAGGTGTACTTTTAATATTTCATTGTTTATTTTGAGGTGTGACACATGTTTTTGTTTGTTCAGAGTGTAGATATCTTAGCTAAGGCTCATGAAATTTGTTTTGAATCACTAAAGTTAGACAGAAATGTTGAAAAAGTGATGAAAGACTATGTCAACAAGCTAGCTCCCTTCCAGGTGGAAATAAAATGATGAAACCATCTAATGTTACTAAAACATTCAGACACATATTATTACTAGCTGTACGTAGTTTGTTACTTATTTTCTTGTAAAATGTCTTGTTTTTTTTATTATTGTGGTTACGTTTGGTTTTGTTAAAAAACTCAAAGTTCCTGATTAAACTAGCGTCACTTTAGTTTTGTTTGCAATTATTTTGTGCCAGTTTTTGTTCGGTTAGCTTTCATCCATCACTTTCTAGGTTAAATGTAACGGGCTAGTTTGATTACTGTATATTCAAGGGAGAAAAAGCATCATGCAATGTGTTTTTGTTTCAGTCAAAATCAAGAAAATGGGGTTTGTGCCACATGACTCATCTCAGACATGGGTAGGGTTCCTAAAGCGAGCGTCAAAACACCCGAACACGTCAGTTTAAAGCAGAGAAACTCGGAATTATGCTGCATCCTGATCTATTCGTCCAACGTTGTCCCCATCACGTATCAAAAACAGCTTTACTACTTTAATGCAGTATTTCCCAAGTTTCAGGTTTTTTAAACAGCATGCTAACAATTTGTGCTGTGGTTTTAGTAGGATTAGAAGCTCCTCATACAAGCTGAGTGTGACGGTTTTGTCATTTCCTGTTCGTCTTCAGTCGCTTTCTGTTTGCAGGTTTGTTTAGTATGTTTACATTTTAGCACCTCCCTCTCCCATAGATACATATTGCATTCTATGCATCCATATGAAGCCATAAACTCCAGGAAGTAAACATTTTATTACTGAAAACTAATGTTAATAATAGTTTTATTTATTGTTTTTTGTTTTCTGAGAGTGGAATTCAAACACCCATAAATACTTGATGTTTGTAGCGAGGAAACAGGTGTAAAACATTCATTTTGGGCTTCAGCAACAGAGTTGGACGTGAGATTTGCCTCACAAACCAGAACGTTCTACTCGATCCTCAAGCTTTAAATTGAATTCTTGTGACATGTTTTTTAGTCGGGGTAAGAATTTATATTTTTACCAAGTCCAAGATTTGTCTGACTGTAAAATTATTCCAAATAAAGTTGATTACTACTGATTTGTCTGTTATTTGATGACACTGAGAAACTGGTGACTGAGGATCACAGTGTAGGGAGACAGTGTATCTACCAGCCAAACTGTTTGTTTTCTTGCAAACAGATTTTCTAAAATCAGCAGTTTATTTAGGAAACTGTTGATCGGTAATTTTAGATGTTTTTATGGTCCCGAGGTAAACCCACCCTCCAACCCTCACATCTTAGCCTTCTACAACTGTGGGATGCAACTTTAGCAGCGCGCAGACTCGACGAGTACTGCTACCAATCAGCGACGGTAAAGCTTATTGTGGCTTCCTATTTTCATGTCCAGTAAAGTAATAGAGCAGTTTTCTGCTCCCCCGCCCTACTGGTTGGAAGTGGAATCATAACTAGGGATGTCCGAATCAGGTTATTTTGCCTTCGAGTCCGAGTCATTTGATTTAGAGAATCTGCAGATACCAAGACCCGATCCGATACTTTCGATACATAAAAAAATAATAAAGAAAGCGAAACAACAGATCCAGAATATTCCTTATTTTTTTATTCAGTTACCTTTATTTTAGCCTGGCAAGCCAGACTAAATAAATATATTTAGTCTAAATAAATAAATATATTATTTAGTCTGGCAACGCTCTATTGCTAGCTCTTGGTCGTGGGGCAGGTTCTACCTTTGTCTTTCAAACGATCTCTGCATGCTACTGGATAATGAACAACGTGACGTACTCACCGCAACAGATGTTGGTAAACGAGGCAGTCCACTGTTGAAGAACATCTTTTTTTAAAAAATAAAACATCTAACTGCTCCTGATTCTAATAAAGCCCAAGTCAAAATATCGCAAAATTGACGTAAAGGCCGTTTCAAGAAGCTGTCGCAATCTTGTTCCACTCTGTTGCATCATCCTGCCCACCAGACGAATAGAGGGCTCTGATTAGCCCACAAAGTGGATAGAGTGCTGTGATTGGCCCACCACTGTGGACTAATCACAGCTCTCTATTGGGTTTGAAATCCCTGTAGGAGCTGTGATTAGCCAGCCAGAATGCTTTTGGAACTGCATGAAGCGTTCCTAGATCAAACTTTGCAAAGCAAGAATTTGGTCTAGTTCACAAGGTTACCTTTATTTAAACAATTAACAACTCTGTTATCAAACAGATAACTTCTGTGAGATAGTTTTAGCAATCAAGTAATAGATAACATACATTCTTCACTTCTGGACTTTATTGCAAATATAAAAAAGACTTAAATAAAAATAAATAGCCCCTCAACTTAAAATACCTGGTCTATTCAGCTTTGGCCCCCAAAATGCCTTGATACGTCCCTGGGCGTGGTACTGAGTTTTGAAGGTGATCTGAATTGTGTCAAATAAATAAATATTACATGCTGATAAATTATTGCTTTATAAAGGTAAAAATGTGTAGAGGATAAATCTACCTACATTTTATTTTTCAAGAAC